ATGAGTCCATCTGTCCTCCATGAGTCATTAATGAGTCCATCTGTCCTTCGTGTCTCTTACAGGACAGTCGTCTGTCCTCACCTTTCCTCGAGCCTCTGTATGGCTCTTTGTTGGTCTCGTACTGCATCCGGAGCGCCGGGTCAGCCGGACCTCCTCCCTGCTGGTAGGGACCACCTCCTGGACCCGGGGCCCGCCTGTTCTGGAAGGCTGGATCGTTGCCGTCAGAAAACGGGTCCTGAACACTCACACCTCCCACGCTCCTGAGAGCAAAACAATCAGAATTATTGTTATTATTATTTAATAAATGAAAGAACTGTTAACTTTTAAAGTAAAAACGTTTTATTTTGTAAAGTCGGACGTGATCATCGTCTTTGCAGTTTTGTGATAATAAAATAATGATTTGGGTTCATTTTAGTCATAAAAACGATGAAACTGTAAAACATCACAAAGTCCCGGGTCGTGCAGGAAGTCTGGCCTCAGTTCTGACCTGGTTCCAGACTGGGGGCCCGAGTGGCTGTGTGGTGTGGAGGCGGGGGTCGGGGGCCTCAGCTCCACAGGGGCCTCGGTGAGCGAGCTGCTGCTGGACTGAGGGGTGTTGGGGCCCTGCAGGGAGCCCGAGTTGGCTGCAAAGACCCAGAACAAACATCTTCATCTATCATCATCATCATCAACAACAACCATGGGGGGGGACTCTTTTTTAACTTCACGTTTCTAACATGAGACACGCAGAATGTCCCCATGTCTAATGACGTCCACTGTCCCCGTCCAAAAAAACAGATAATCCAGTTTAAAACTTTTCTTTCATCACATTCAAAGTCAAACGATGAAAAAACAAATAAATGATGAAAGACAAGAAGAGTTGTTTAAAATCAAACAAACTTAATTCTGTCGTTACATCAAGGTCACCAGATCTGACCTCTGATCAGCGCTTCTAATAAAAATAAACAAAGAGTGAAACGAACTCCAGGTCGTCTGAAACTACACAACTATCCACTTTAATCTTCTTTTTTTATTTGACAGATTAATGTTTTCATGTTTCCACTCTGACTCGGTTCTGTGAAGGACCCGACCAGACCCCCCCACAGACATGAGGAGGTGGGGGTCAGTACAACATGCTGATCAGGATAGAACTACCTGTGTCAATCAGAGAGGGGCATTGTGGGTATTTAGGTCAGAATGAGGTAATTTCATATTTACACTCTGCTCACAGCTGAGTGTGTGTTCTAACTCCAACATTAACTGACCTCGGGCTGAAAACGACCCGGGTCAAAGGTTCTGGTGGTTGTTCTTACCTGGAGATGGAGGCTGGATCCTGGCCTGGAGGGACGGGGGTTTCTTGGCGTCCCTGGCAGACAGCATGGCGTCGGGCGGAGGCTCCTCCCCTCGCTCCGTCTTGCACTCGTAGGCGAACAGGTACTGGATGTACTGCTTCTTGAGGGAGCTGGCCGAGCTGCTGGACGTCCCCAGGTTCAGCAGGGAGGACAGCTCGCGCCACTTCTTGTTCTTGTTCACCTGAGAGGAGAGCAGACCCACTGCACTGAGACCAACCTGTCCACCTGTCCATCAAACACCTGAAGACAAACAGATCAAAGGCCTGAGGAGCACCGAGTCTCACCATGGCCAGTCCTCCGATCCCTCTCACAGCCAGGTAGAACCTGCAGAGGTCCAGAGGCTTCTTTCCAACGGCGGGCAGGTTCTGGACGGGCGTACCCCTCTCCTCCATGAAGGACAGGTACCGGTCCACCCAAAGTCTCCTCTCTGGCTCCGAGCCCATCTCGTACAGACGCGTGATCTTCTCGCTGGTCATGGTGGCCACGTTGGGCTTCTGGAGACACAGAAACAGAGTCCAGTCTGAGGTCCATCAGCTTAGAGATGAAGTCCAGAACCAAAACAACTCGTCTCCTTCCATTGCAGCAAAAGAAGAATTCAGCTCGTCTGAGTTTCCTTCAGAGTTCAGCGTGAATAAAAACCCATGAAGAAGAGCGAGGAGGTTCAGAGGCATTTCGGGCGGGACTTACGGGACTGGGCGGAGTCCTGAGCCAGGAAGGGCTGCTAATGCTACCACTGTCCTCCCCCACCCAGGAAGACATGCTGGCTGAGCTGGGGGACATGGGGCAGAGGGTGGAGGGGGGCTGAGACACAAACTGAGAGCTGTAGCTGTCCTGTGACGCGAAACACACACACACACACACACACACACGTCAGACAGGATTATTCCAATCACAGACAGATGAGGATAAAGACAGTTAGCACGTAGCAGTTAGCACATAGCAGTTAGCACGTAGCAGTTAGCACGTAGCAGTTAGCATGTAGCAGTTAGCACGTAGCTGCAACTAGCAGGTGGAGCAGCAGGTGAGCTGACTGTAGAATCGAGTCGTCTGACGGAAGCGCCAGAGTCTCCGTTTGTAACTAAAGCCGAGGCAAAAACTGGTTCGGCTCCTGATCCATCAGAACCACCATCAGCAGCAGAACCCTCATTCAGTTTCTGTCTCTCGTGGTTGTGGAGCAGTTTTGTCCCACTCCTCTTTGCAGCATTGCTTCAGTTCATGGAAGTTTCTGCTCAGCTCTCTGAAGGTCCACCACAGTGTTTCAGTCAGGTTCAGGTTCTGGACTCTGACTGGACTGTTGCAGCACCTTGGTTCTGTTCTCTTTGACCCATTCGGGTGTAGATTAGCTGCTAGTTTGCTTCTCCTGCAGCTCTTCAAAACCAGTCATGACCTTTGACCTACTGACTGAGACCTGCAGCGTCTGACATGGAGCTCATTTCTCTGGGCACTGCACAGTCTGACCTTCAGGGTGTCTTAAATGTTTCCCACTCCACTGTTTGATTTGACTGCATAGTTTGAAAATGACCTTTGACCCTTCCTAGATTGACAGGCAGCAACAACTGCTGCCCTGAGGTCATTGCTGATGTCTTTCCCCCTCGGCATTGTGATAATCGACACCTGGATGCTCCAGATCAGAGGTGGTCCCACTGATGAAGATCAGTTTATGAGCAGCTCCTGGTCCAGGACCAGTTTTTCACTCCCAACTTTAACTTTTTGGTTCTGTTTAATAAAAACGACAGCTTTAATTTCCTACAACTTTTCTATGAAAACAAGTTTTTCTCCTTCGGAGGTAAAAATAACGAATCCCTGGAAACGAGGCTTTTTGTTTCCCTTCTCATCGTTTCCTCAGTGAAGAACGAGCTCCGTGTGTGAGATAACTTCTCAGCAGCTGGAAGTCCTCGATCAAAGCTGCAGCTTCTCATCTCCTCAGATCGAGGTCGGCTCCTCACCTCCTCCTAATGAGGAGAGCAGAGTCAGGAGGGAGCTGAGAGCAAAGAGGAGGAGCTGCGACTCCTCGCTTTCTGTTTTCAGCTGGAATAAGAGTGAGAAACAACAAACAGCTGCTGGTGTCGGCTGCGATGAGCCAAAACCACGACTGAGACGAACCGATCCTCTCAAACCAACAGTTCCTCACAGCAGCTCCACTCTTCAGGAGTTTGAGAACAGAAACAAAGAGTCAACCTGAACCTCCCTCCTGCCTCCATTAAACAAACGAGAGAAACTTTCAGCTGGTTCTGGTGTTCTGATGAAGCAGGTCCAGTTCATGACTCAATATTTCACACTGTAGGAGCTCCGCCCACCTGAACTCACAGAGACGAGCTAAAGAGGATGCTCGTTAAGTATCGCCTGCTTAAACAGCAGTTGTGATTAGTTAACGAGGTAAACAGCAGTCGTGATTAGTTAACGAGGT